TATCGCTTTGATGTGCTCTCACTATCTGCGCTGCCTGTCTATTTTCAGATAGAAGTTGCTGGTACGCTATAGTCTTGCATCTATAAACCTATACAACTGTGATTTCATTCTCGCGCGGGAACTATAGGCACGACGGTCAGATCTGCTAGCTGGCATTATGTAGGGATTGTCACGCACTCATTGTGTCAACTGTCAAGTTGATCACGACTGCCCACAGCACACAGACACGATGAGATGACTAATAATTATTGTTGAAAATGTCAGAGGCAACGCATCACTGCAGAAATTATGTTTTAATTGTTTGTACGGTTCGTCTGTCTATTAGTCTATTACCACGTATACATAAACACACCAACGCGCGCGCGCACGCACACACAAAGGCACACGCGCGCACAAACACGTACTCCCGCCCCACACGCACTCACACACACACAGACACCCCCCCCCACACACACNTGGCGTGCTGTGGTGATGCGAGCTCCATGTATTATAAATTAACGTTAGGCCGTGGGCTAAAGACGCGAGATGCGGCGAAGAAAGAAAGAGTGAAGAAAGCTTTCAGCTGCTGCTAATAGTCGCCGGTCAGACAGCACATAGAAATGATAGATATTTGTGAGCTGCTAATCATACTGCTGAGCATTAGAGACGGAGAAGGGAAGGAAGTGGCCAGAGAAAACAAAATGTGCGGAACGCATATTCGATTTTCCTTCGGCTAGAGAAACAGAGAATTATCGCCGAGCTGCGTAATGTAATATTTCTGCACTCGCTAGGCTTTAACGCGGCGGCGTTTATGTAGCGTTGAATAAAATCAAGTCCGTTATAAAGCGAACAGTCGGATTGTCACAGGGAAAACGTTTCTTTATTTCGCACAGCCCTCTGTCGTCGTAACCGGCCTCGTTCTCTCTCCGCGTCCCCTTTTATACCTCTGGGCGTGCCCTTACCGCCGGGCGCGTCCCTTCTCCCTCGCCGTCCGCTTCGGCCATCAGCCCTATTGATTCGGCGTCGGACATTCCTATGACGAGTGACCACCGGGTCTATCTTACGTCAGTTTGGACTGTGTCTAAACCCAACCCTTTCGCCTCTGGCTGGCTGCCAAAATGTCCCTGGTTACTTTTATTCTGCATGCGTTGCTTCGTGCCTACTTATCTTAGCCCAGACTAGTGCGTGCTCGCCTTCCGTATCTAATGTACCTCTAATCTATATCTAATGTATCTCTAATGCCTTTCGTGGCGCCGTTGGACGCTTCTATAACATCGCGTTTCTATAACTAGTTTCTCTACCCGCGTGCCAGCAATGCTTGTGCTCTATATTCCTACATTTCTATATTAATTTACCGCTCGCGTGATTTCTGCTTCATTGCATTTACACACGCGCCTGTCAACCGAATCATATCATAACATTTCAAATCCAATCATCATCCCACATTTAGTTACCAGTATCAGTAGTGTTATTATATGTATGGTATATTATGTGTTAGATCTGCCACTCTAGTGAACTACGTCTCATAATGTGTTAGATATGTCGCTTTAGTGAACTACGTCTCATAATGTGTTAGATATGTCGCTTTAGTGAACTACGTCTCATAATGTGTTAGATATGTCGCTTTAATGAACTACGTCTCATAATGTGTTAGATATGTCGCTTTAGTGAACTACGTCTCATAATGTGTTAGATATGTCGCTTTAGTGAACTACGTCTCATAATGTGTTAGATATGCCACTTTAGTAAACTACGTCTGACCATGTGTTAGATATGTCACTTTAGTAAACTACGTCTGACTATGTGTTGCCCTCGTAACCTATCTGTTGATTATTAGGTTGAACAGCCAGGCGCTGCTGCATGGTGATAGCGTGTTCAGTTGTTGCGGTCTACTGCGAAAGTCAAGC